TTATACTTCTTCCTGTACCACAGCATTATTTCTTTTTTTCCTTGTTTGAAGAAGACAACCATAGATTTTCCTATTTTAAATGATGATTGAAAATACAAGAAATTTTCAATATTGCTCTAAAGCAAGTTAAATTAAAGTCTTGCCTTTGAACTGGAATGGAACATTATAAGTCAAATTTTCATTTACTCTGGGGTATATTTAAACTTGAATTTTTAGGTGTTCTTTTGGTCTTTCTCAGCAGCTTTTTAAAGTTTCAGCAATGAAAAAGGTTACCATGCAAAAGCTAAAAGTGTAGTATTTCTGAGTATACTAAATGAAAATCACCTTTTACATCATGCCATAAAATTAATTATGCCAGAGAGAAAGCAAACTTGTCTTACACAAACTCTCAAAAATTATCCATGAAAAGAATTCAGACCAACAATCAACACAGACATTTGAAACTGCATTGTTACAAAGGTTTTCTCCTCAGAATTAATGATTAATGTAAATTTGAATTCCACACTGCAAGAAAATGCTGAATATCCAAAAGATACATTATGGCAAGGAAGGTTTCAAATAGAAGAAACTATGAAGTATTTAAGAAATAAGATTACATAAACAGTGCCACATTATAAGCATCCAGCTTGTGAGGGAGTAGAGTCCATTTTTATTTAATAACATGACACAGGATCATTTACAGATTAAAGAGCAAGAGCCCCATTTTTAGACAGAAACCAAATAGTTCTTTGAATGAGACATGTATCCTCATGTATTTACAGGAGTTAAAAATTACATAAAGTCTTATCTAAAGAAACTATTATTTGACTATGAAGCACCACTTATATCTTTTACTTGCCAAGTTGTCAAACTTTCTGAGTGATACCTGAGTTGGTATACAAACATAGAGCAGTATATAACTTTTTGACCATGTAACTACACTTGTTAGCTGACTTACTTCTGTTGTGGATAGGACAAATTACATTGCACAGGGCTTTGTTGTAGTACAAGGTTTGTGTCACTCCTTCTCATTATTTACCTCTTTTTTTTTTTTTTTTTTTCATAGACTCACACTGTAGCTACATTGATTATAATGAAAATTAGTAATTATAGTAGTAATACCCATTATGTTGTGCATATATAAACAGCACAAGCAGCACTTGATTCCTGGTGTACAGCACACTGGAAATTCAGTTTGAATTTTGTGGCTTTTACTACATCCCAAAACTGCTCTTGCCCCCAGACAGACAAGCTCGTGTTACAGCACAAGTTTGTTTCAGAATTGGCATTAACTTGTGCATTCATTTTATATACTTTGAAACTTAAGCACTTTCTCTTCACTTTCAGATTTCCTTCCCCTTGACACCAGTCTGCTCTTCAAAGCACCACTCGACAAGGAGACAGAACAACAGCCTGAACAGAGGCATCACGCTGGGAAACAGCAGCACCCCCCCGACACACATCTGCCACGAGTTTCTTCTAGCCCATCATTAAGACCAGTAGTCATAGACCACGGTTTTTTTAAAAGTCTAATTTGATTTCACACAACAATATTCCACCTATTCTATTCATTCAACAAGCCTAGTGCCACGATTTAGGAGTGCGCTTTTATGAACATTTTCCCAGGGTGTTGATTCATGGATCAACATAGAGAAGCCAAAGAAAAAAAAAAAAATCCAGGATTTTTTGTTTCCACCTTGGGAAAATTTTGTGTTTCTATCCTGGAAAAATACCAAACAGTAGAATATTTGTACCTTCTTGAAAGATTTTTCCCACAAGATCAAGTTTGAGAGCTTGTTCTGGTGATGCCCAAAAATGCCTGTCTCTCACCAGGCATGGCTCTGCAGCTTCCACAAGGAAGGTCAGGGAGACAACTGGAGAACAGGAGTTGCTGCAAAGAAAGACAATCCAGTAGGACAAGACATCAAGATGAGCAGAGGAGAGCTTATGTAATGGTCTCTACTCCTCAAAAATATTTCTTTGTAAAGTCATAGCTTCCCCAAACTACCAATAGCTTTCTTTGTAAGAAAAACAAACAAAAAACAACTTTAAACTAATCAAACAATCAAAACAAAGCAAATTGTAGATGTGGAGTCCTGGACACTCAGTAGCACCTTTAAATGGACTGAATAAATCCCCTAAACAATAAATCAATGACCATAACATGAGCACAGATCTGCCTCTCATGCTTTACCTGGTATATATTAATATATTTCCATTAAATAATTCATAAGGATTCACTTCTGCCTCAGTAAGAGGGAAGAGATGATGGTTTAATGCAAGAAGTCAAGGATGACTGTCTAAAGCAGTTCTGTTATTTACCTGGCTCTCAAGCACACCCAAAGCATACAGTTTCTGTACACACTAGGTAAGGGGAGCTTTGCAGGGTGCTTACTGCTCTAGGGCTGTCCAAGACCTTCACTTAGCTGCAGCATTTGGCACAGTGGTTGCAGCAATCCTGCACGATGCCTGTGCGCTTCTCAAAGCCCTTTTCCAAGTCTCTGCATGATTTAACTGAGAGCCAATATTCTATTTCCACAATATTTTAAGTTAACGGCAAAAAAATTCTGGACAGATCATATTACTCTGCTCATTTTTTCCCCCAGGGCCTTTCTGCTGCCTCTGACAGCTTTCTGATTGCAGCCTTCCCTCACCCAGCAATGCCTCAAGTTTCATCATCCAAATTACTGTACTTTAAGTCCCCTGCAGTAACTGTGTTTATTTCCAATATCCCAACAGGAAGACCCCCATCAAGATGAGTCATTCCTGTTTCCAAGGGTGTTGTGCTGAGGCGCTCAGAAGAAGATGCAGCAGCAGCTGCTTTGTATTAGCCTAGTGGGGGGAAAAAAGCACAAGGCCCTGCTTTCAGCTAAATTTCTTTCCAGCAATACAGACATTTCTTCCAGAAATGATGAAAATTACAAACACTTACTCTAACAAAACCTCTGTTGGAAGTACCAGAGTCCTAAAAACTTCTGGAATTGTGCCATGATGTGTGGAAAAGGGAAGCGGCTATTTTAAACTTGCTGTCGTCTGGACAGAAAGCGATGCTTTGCTGTGAACTGCTGGGCTCTGAACTGTTCATTCATGCGTTATTTTCTGGCAGCCTTCACCATTTCCACAGGATCACTGGCAGCAGCTTCACTAGAGAGCAGGTAATTCTGACCATGCAACTTCTTTACCACTATTAATCACAAACAGGTTTTTAGCTGCCTCATAGCAATGACTATTCAGAGCTGTTTTAGGATGGTGCAATGCTGCCATGAAATCTCACACATACAGATTCTCTGAAGATTCAGTATAATCCTTGCTTTCCATTCAAAGAGCACATGAAAAAACCTTTCAGCATGTTACTGCTGTAGCACAGACAGAGCCAGCTCACGCAGACCTTCAAACAATGGAGCTAGAATTGGGCCAAGATGTAGCAGAAGTCTGAAAAGTTTTGATTCTAAATCAAAGATGGATTTGCAGCTCTAATTCTGCTATTTTTGAAAAGAACCCTTGCATATTATACACAGGTAGCACAGCCTAGTCACTGGAATACTATTCTATTTACTCTTGGGCTCCAGAGGGGTAGTTAAATGCCTGTGTGTATCACCAGCATAAGAACCCCACATTTCCAGAACTTCGAACATCAATGGTATGATGTGGCTTTCTGGAGCCTCTGCAATTAGTGACACAGAAAATGAGGAGTCATGGTCAGTGCACAGAAAACACAATCAAGGCCACCCAATATATGTAGCTGAATTTTCAAAGTGTGGCTGAAACTCTGGTGCGGGTGGTTCTATGAACAGTGGGACAGCCCGAGGTCAGAGACACAGGACACCATTTCAGAGATGTGGTGGGGAAACATCTCTTAGAGTCCATCTCACATATGTAACTTTGAAAGCTGTCATTTTAATTGCAGATTAATTTTAATTTGTTACATTTGTTCTTCCTAGCTACTCTTCCCAAGTGGAATGGAAGTGGTGCCTGACAGGCTGTTTGGAAGATTAGGGATTTCTTTGTTTTTTGCTCTTAATGTTCTTGCTGAATTTATTTATAGCTTGGCTGGTTATTAGAACTTGTTCCATATGGTAATCTGGCAATGCCAAGCAAAGGATTTAAAATTTAAAAATAGATTATTTCATCAAGAATATATATTTTTTGTGATTTGGAAATTCACTCAAAAGTACTGGCCCACAATTTAACCCAGGTTTTCAGGGGAGAAGTGGGGGAGGAAAGTAGCCAGAGGGTAAATAGGAGATTATATGAAAGCAGAAATTTTCTTTCATGTTGTTGGAAAGTGGCCCAAAAGCTCATTGTGCTGATGCCTACTTCAACAAGAAAAAAGAAGACAGCTTTTCTGGATTAGAGGGCTTTCCAGTCTTCTGCTTCTGTAGGAAATGCAGCTATGCACCCCTGGGAAGAAAGCAAAAAGAGAACAACCCAGGAAGCAACCAATTTGGACCCAAACTAAGACAAATTAGATATACGCCTGCATAACTAGAACAGAAAATACTAATAAACTACTTATTTTGGGGTTTAAGCATATAGAGAAAAGGCTGTTCTGTAATGCCAAGGGGACAATAAGAAATAAGAAATTACCTACATCTAGGTTACCTTGAAAATTATAAATTATGCTTTAATGTTTCAAATGGCATAGTAATACCACAATTCAGGTTTTTGACCCCTGTTTCAAAGACTCTTGACTAGAGTTGACCAAAAATCTCAGACACACATTTGATGAGGGGGCTTTGACTAGAAAAGAGAATTTCCTCCTTTGTAACCAGTTAGAATAGAGATTTGGTTTGCAGCCTAACTTCAGCATATATTTATTAAGAAAGGGAACACACAAGAAAAACATAACGAAACAGAAAATGGGTTTCCAAATCCCACATGCTTTTGAACAAGTATGTCACAATTTCCCCAGAGGATTCAGACCGGGATGGCAGAAGCACGGAAAAATATATTGCACAGACAGCATCAGTAAGTGAAAATTGCATTTTTATTACCAATAAAGTAAAAACTCTGAACTCACAGAAAAAATACTTCTCTCACAGACAAATGATTAAAAAAAAATTCATTTAAAGTGAAGACAACATTCTCTACTCTTCCAATTGCAACAATGGAGACCTATAGATAGAACAGAAAAGACTGATCAGTACAATCTTTGCCAAATTTTGACCAAAACTTTACAGGACTCAATATTATCACTAACAGTAAGGTCAATGTGACATTCAAGCAAGACTGATTGCAGCTGTTAGCTTTGCTTTTTTGATTGCATAGTCTTTTGTAAACGCAAGTAAAAATACATAGAAATCAGGTGTGCTGCTGATTTTGTTTCTATCTTGGCCAATGTGCAAAACACAGTAGCCAGTAGCATCAGTCAAAAAATACAGGTATGAGTGTACTGATAAGTAAATCAAACTTTGGGTTTCATTTCCTCACCTTGCATTTAAGGAACAAAGGACTTTGTTACAAAACAAGTCCTAAGAGGAGTGCTGACGCATACTGCTCTCAGTTTCAAGAATTTTAAAAGACATTCAGTTATTGTGTTAGATGGAGTTTTGAGCAAAGGCCAAGATTTGTGATCTTTTACAGAAGTCTGTGAGAGCTGATTAGCTTATGGGGTTCAGGAAGAAAAATAATTGTTCCAGGGAAGGGGGCCTGACACACAGAGATGGAACACCATCTGACTTGATGATTGTGTTGCTGCTATCAACAAGACCCAACCGAGGGTCCCCAGGCCCACCAGAGAGGTGGGGATCTGTCCCAGTCCCTGGGGATCCCCTCTGAGCCAAGCAGCAAGAGGGTGCTGGTGTTCCCTGCACAGCTCACAGAGGAAGTGTCACAACACACTGAGGGACAGCATTATGGTGGGTTCCAGTGAACCCAAGAGATGAGTGAGTGCAGGGAGGGATAGAAGCGTTACTCAGTTGTTGGACAGCAAGAAACCCTGCTGTAGGAAATGTCACAGTCTCAAGTGGTAGTTTAAGCCAGCTCCAGACACCTGATGAGAAAGCAGGCAATACATCAGTAAAAGCACACGACATTAGCAGTGCTCAGGTAGATTCTGTACTCCATACATGTGGGGAGAAGTCCTGTGCTCTTCCCCTACTCCAACAAAATCCATGTGATTTTCATGCCATACTAACTTGTTCAATAGTTTGCTCTTCAGCATGTCTCAACTGTCATTAAGGTTACACTGATTACGAGGAAAAGCCCTTGCTTGCATAAAAATGTTTCTTTATATTTACAACTGTTTGCACTTTAAGACTGCCTGGCAAACCAAGGCACAATGAGTTTAACAATTAGAGGTTTGTTTCTTGCAATGATTGAAGGTAAATGATCCTTTTCTGTTCCAGTCTTTCAAGCTAAGGCCAAACTGGGAAGTGTTCTAGGCAGGTGGGACCACAAACTCCCAGACAAAATTCCTCTTTGACCTTATCAATGGAAGGTCAGGGTCAAAGCTACTGCAACACAGAAGGGGCAGCCAACTAAATTCTAATATTTCTTTTTTTTCCCCACATGAAATTTCTTCTGGAGACATACTCTCACACATATGTTTTATAAAACTGTAAAGGTAAAAGACATATTAAGGTCATAACAGGGAATAATAGCACATCTATGAAAATTCAATTTCTGTGTAAGTATATGCTGCATTTTCTAGTTTCTTTCCTGATCCTGCAGAAGTCAGTCTCTAGTGAGTGCCATCTCGTGTATGCACCAGTTTACCAGTTGCCACATCCTTTTTTAGTGAATGCAGTACTAATAATGTTCTCATCCTTTCCAATAGAGCGCATTGCAGCAGTGAGAATACTTCAGGCAAAATAGGATTATCATAGCTTACATCCACAGCACAGGACATGTAAGGTCAAAAGTTTCCCTTGATTATGGATATCCCAGTTGAGATACCACCCACCTCATTTTCTGAGACTACTTAGAATTCTCTCTGCTATTGCGCTGACAGCAAAAACTTTATGAACTGCAGTTATGGCCATGAGCACTCTGTATTTTCTAAAATAAGATCCCAAGAATATTTAGTCTAACAAAAAATTAATGACAAGCTTTGAGTTGATGAGAGTGTGGTTAGTGGGTGTACTGGCATTATAAGAGAACTCAGAAGCACCAGCAGAGAGATTGCCAAGATCTCCTTAAATGTGCTCACCTCTCCCCAGAAGGAAACCACTTGTCCCCTCTTCATCCAGTCTCCTGTATCATTCAGACTACCCAGACACCAAAAAAGATACACTTTGGTGTCAGGACCACACTTCCAACTAACCATTCCTTGACACAATTCACAAATAAGAAGTTTCCCTGCAGAGAGAGTACCATGGTGCTTAGCCATGCATTTCTGCAGATGGATTTACATTATTTCCCATTCACACCACTGAACAGGCAGGTCTCCTGCCAGAGGATGACACAATACCAGGGTGAGATCTATAGGGTGGATTGTGGACCCTGCTCAAGTGCCTGCATGATTCTCCCAAGTAGGAGCACAGATCTTTTTCCTGCCAGCTGACAAAGGATGATAAAGTGGGAATGAGAGCAGCTCCTTCCAGTTCCTTTGCACACAGCCTATCAAAGTCATGAGCAAGTAAGTCCATGGGACAGCAGTGCTTTCCTTCCTGCCACAGAAAAATAGGCAGGACTTTGAACTTCATGGAGGATCACTGAAGGAAAAGGGAAGAGGATCAGGTATAATCCAGTCCACAAAGCAATTGCTACCCATAGCTGTGTGCTGTCTGGGTAAAAAGACCAAGAGGAATCAGTTTTGTTACCCCATGACTTATGTGAGCCAGGGGAAATCCAGGGACACTTCTGACATGGATCATTATCAGTGAAACTGCGTAGCTCCTACCATAGCATGTTCATACCACATTCCTGAGAGACATATCTCTGCCTCTCAACGGCCAGCATATCAATGAATTACAGGAAAAATTATATGCTGCTTAGTCTTGTTCTACTCCACAGGTATGAAATCCTTGCTGCCTGGCCTGGAAAGAGAGATGAAGTTTAGCATTCCTCTCTGGGAAAAACCTTGGCAGTGAGGTATCCAGCATACCATGAAGTCCAGAGGAAACACTTTCAAAAATACCAGCAGAAAACATCTAGAATCCAGTTATAACCTGTTGCTTGCTGCTTTCATCATGTCTTCTCTGCCCCAGAACAGCTCAGCCTTCCTACTCTGAAGAAAAGGGGTGGTGAGGGAAGAGGATATAAAGTGGTAAATGAGTGGACAAGATGAACCACTCAACTGGCAAGAACCACTCTAAGCTGTAGCTTCCATATGCTAACACAGGAAAAGAAAATGAGAAAGCTGTCAAGGTAGTATCAGCATGTAATCCTGATGACAGAGCATTACCCATTAACCCAATTCCTTCCAAGAAGAGAAATAAGGGTTACAGGAGTAGGAATTCCCTGCTGCAGGACTGCAGAAAAACCTCAGAGTATTTCTTTATTCATGGCAGGGTTTAAAAGACAGTGCCTATTGGCTCTGGCACAGCTAGTATATGTGCACACACACAAGCACAGGCAACAGACAGCCCTTCTGTGCTGTAGTATCAAAACACTGTTTGCATAAGCCTAGAAAACCCTAGGCTCTTATCCCACAGAGGACACTCAGACAAACCATAAAAGTGTGTCTGAATGTATTTCTGGCTTCCTACATTTCTGTGCTGCTCAGCATTCTTCTTGAGTCTATCCCAGACCTGCGAGTCCATACATACACTCTCTGGAGGCCTGCAAAACACTCTGAGCAAGCATTAAAACACATGGTTTTAATCTTCTGAAATTATTACAACTTGAAATGTTGGAGCAAAACAAATGAAAAGGGTCCGCTGTCTGGATAGCCTGAAACCCATTCATGCAAAGGTTCCAGCAACAGAAGGGGGCTCTCCAGTGCAAAATGAAATTCAGCCCTCACCTCATCTTTAACTTCATTCAAAATCTTTGCTGCTTGATGATCAGTGAAGTTTCAAAAAGCTGCTCTGTCTGTGAGCCATGGTGGCTGTTCAGATATACATATATGTGTGTGGGACGCACAATGCAGCATGGGAGACTGCAATCACAGAGAAAACAAATAGCATGCACAGGCATCACAGAGCTGCGGCATTAAACAATTCAGCAGCAACCTTGCAGCCCTCAGTAATACCTAAAGAGCTGCTATTTTCTCCAGCAAGCACTACTTGGAGAAGTCTGAAGCCAATTACTGTCTTCAAGAAAGAAAACCTCCTCCATATCATGTCTTGACTCCAGTGAAAACACTATTATAGCATCATTAGCCTGAAGGATCTGAAAAGAATTCCTGTAGTATGAAATATTTTAGGTTTATAAGATAGGTGTGGCCAGGTTTATGTATTGACAAATTTATTCCTCCTGGTTCCCAGAAGATGCCCAAGCTCTCTGGCACTAATCACAGCTGTGCTGGGCACCATGTTAAGAAGTGAAGAAAATACATGGTCATGGTGAAGTGTACACTTTTTGGTCAGCTCAGAGAGATCACACGAATGATAGATAGATTGCAACCACTGCCCGTGACACCAATCAATGCCAACAGCCCAGCCAGGTAACAGATGACGCTTTGGAGGTGTCCTGGGGCAGCTCTCAAGTCTCCATTTTCCATCCATCAAGGCTCAACCCAGAACCCTCCCAGCACTGTTGTCACACTTTCTCTCTCCGCACAGATGAAGCTGCTGCTCCCCTGATGAGTCTGTACAAGCATTCTTTACCAAAATATAGGCTAACACACTGCCATCACCCACATTTAAACACTGTCAGTGGGAAAGAACGTAGAGACAGTCGCCTTACAACATAAAAGAAGTCAGAGGTGCAGGAGCTATGAACTATTTAAAAATTGACTGCTTATCTCTCAGACTGGGAGAACCAGTAGATGAGGCATTTGCCATTACAGAGTCCCCAGAAAGGAAAGTTGAGTTTGATGCCAAGCCTTGTGTGCCTGGTCCTTTGCTGCAGACGATCCCACAGGACCCCTGCCATTCCCTACAATGCCTTGGGGCATTCTTGTACTCTGCTCTGCAATGGAAAGTGGCAGCTGCTCCTCCCCAGGACAGCCTGGTCTTGAATCCTCTTAGCTGCAACTTCATGTTCTTACAATCAGGCACTGTGTCAAAACAATGTCTTTTGGTTTATTTTGTTGTTTTATTTATAAAAATAAACACCTCATGGGAAAGACAGGCTGGCAAAATACAAATCTACATCCTTTCTCCATTTATTAAGAATTGTGAAAAGCAAATAAATATTTTGCTGAGAAAAGTAAATGTTCCAGCAGTCATATATGATCTCATTCTGGTACTATGTTCATATGCTAGTTGAATCTCACAATGCAGTTTCAGACACCTGCATGCTGTGTGCATCTGTATTTCTCTCCCATTTTTATGCATAACATATTTAAGATAGGTACAATGTTGTCAGAAGAGAGAGCAGAAACTGCTCTTATAAACACATCAGTAGTCATGGAATTTCAGAGTCTAAAGAGAGAGTTGATCATTTCAATACCACAAACCAGCACATTCCCCAGTGGCAATATATATCTATCATCACTAGCAACTACATGGTCTTCCCACAGTTATTTTCTTCTGCATCTGTAACACCTTGTTTTTGGTAGTCATTTCTTTGTGAATGGAGAGGAGTCAGGTAACAGTTGTAGCTGGCGAGGGAAACAATCCTTGAAAACCTTGTGTCACTCTCTGATCTTGTTGCTGCAGCTTCAGGAATGGAGGTGGCCAGTTTGCATTATAACCTGCAGTAAAGGGACTACAGCCATGAGCTACAGCCTGCTAGATTTTCTACAACATTCCAAGACCAGAAAGAAATTAATAACACAATGAAATACATAGACTATTTTCTTCATTATAGATAGGAAGTGTGCTGAGGACGATTAGCTGGTCAGTAATCAATAACCTAAAGAACTGGCTGACTAAGACACTTATTTGAAAAATTCACAGAAGTGCCAGGATTTTTTAGAGAGCAGTGCAGTGGAGAGTCTGATCAGCTCCAGAGTTAGTGGAAAATGCCACTCATGTTTGTATAAATGTATGACCAGAAAGCCCACTCAAGATGCTGTAATATCTGGTGCAGTTCTGATACTGTACTCTAGGTATATGATAATAACACTGCTTCAAAGTGATTACCAGGAGTTATCCATACAGCTAAAGAGGGAAAATTTCTATTGTGTGTCTTCAGAGAACAGTTACAACAATCTGATTCAAATATAAGTGGTTTTGTTTCTCTCCCTTTACAGGACCACCCTCCATAGCAGTCCATCTTTTCCCTTATTATTTTCCAGTGAAAAATGGCCCTAAGGCCTCTTTTGTTTGTTCCAATACTTGCAGAAACATCTTTCTTTTGATCTTAGGGCTGCCTCTTTGTGAACTATTCTAACTGAACATCCCATTAAACCAGTCCATTAGTCCTTCTTGAAGCACATCACCCTGCACACACAACTTTGTCATAGCTGCACAGAGCCTACAGCCTCAGCCCAGCAGCTGAGGGACTGGCTGACCTCCTCACCATAAGTATGTGTTGTAACACCACTGAATTGTTCACACCATCAATAACATACAAGGTATTAAGGGATTCTCAGCATAATTTCTCAGTGTGACTTCTCACAGTAACATGCTGTCTCTTGAAGATGACTACTACTGCACTATTTACTTTCTGGATAGGAAACAAAACTACTTGAGTCACAAGAAGAAAGGATTTAACTAAACCTACGAAAATTATTTTTCTTTAAGTAATACCAATTGTGTGAGGTGAGGTTTTTTTTTGCATGCACACAATCCACTACACACACACCTAATGAAGCTGTAGTAAGTTAAAGAAAAAAACGTCACTGCTGAAGAAACTGCAGTCCTAAAAAGTCCTAAAAAGTCCTAAAAAGTGCAGAGTCCTACTGGGTTTTTTCTCTTCTTTTTTCAGTCATAGGCCCTATACTACCAATTTTGTCCCTACTTCCAGTTGCTATAGATGGTGGGTGATTAAGATTTCATTCGCAGCCATTTATCCTAGCATGTCTTGAGACAAATCTGTAAAGGTAACTTGTGTGCATTTGCACACTCAGACATCAAAGAAACTAAGATGAACCTTAAGCAGATTGCTTTTCAAAAACTAATTTTAAAGCAAGTTTCATGTTTTTGATCATTCTGAGCTGGAGGTAACTCAAATCATTTTCTCTCCATCTAACCTTCAGCATTGCTCACTGTTCTTCCCATGAGCTGAATGAGAAAGGAGATCAGCAGATCAATTACTTAAAGCCTGTTGTAAAATGGCTGCATGCATTTTATAAGATTCATATTTGCTGTGGAAGATGATCGCTACAGATATTTATCGTGTAGTGAGGATGTAGCAGAAAGATTAATTCTTGGAAGCAATTCAGCCTGACAAATAAGGTACTATGCAGATACTGTCCATATATCAAACCATATCCTACCCAGTAAGATCGACAAGGCTGTTCACACACTGCAGCAATACCTAGGCCTGACCTAGCTGCAAGAGGGAAGGCACTGCAGCCAAATAATGCTGTAATTCCTGTTGTCAGTCCCAACTTTCTTTAAAGAGAGAAGCAAAGTACAGTTCAAAGACTATCTGAGGTCTGAACAGGGCTTTTGCCCCTTCCAGCAAAATTGTTGCCAGTTTCACTTTGTCAAAGTCTCTCATCAAAATTTGCTCTTCTGAACTGATATAGTTCCTGTGCCACAAGGAAAATTTGAGAATCCTTTCAAATTCAGAAATGCCACAATACAGAAGTCACCGAAACCAATTTTTTTAAGCCCTTTTATTTATTTAAAATTTAGGATGCTTAATGTCTTTGCTGTCTCAACAGACAGGTAGTTAAAAGGAAGGCAAACTGATTAAAGAGAAAAAGGGGGATATTTGGAAACCATACAACAAAGTAACTACAAATGGGGCACTGCTGTAGAACTCCATTCTTGAGACACATGAGCAAGGGAATAAATCAAATAACTCAGACTATCCAAGGCAATATGATGGAGCGTGGAATTTTTGGCACATAACAGTCTCATGATTAATGAAAACACAAATAAAAATCAATGGCTGAGTTGTTCAAAGAACAAATTCTCCCTAGCAGTAAAAAGACTTGAATACTGGCTGCCAGCCTAATTTCATTAGGAAATGCATTCCAATTAATGGAAGCTCTGCAAACAAGAGATAATTACTAAGGCGAGACAGAGGAAAGGCCTTACAGCCTTTCAGCTTCTCTTCTTTGGCTGCAGCTTGCCCTTCTCTCCATCCAATTCATTTAAGATGGAGTTCATTGGAATTCTGTATGTGTCTTTTCCAACCTCCTCACCATTCCTGCTGCGCAGGAGTCTCCTTGCCTGCTTCTGTCATTGGCCTCATCCCCCATACACACTATGTACTGTGAAGTTTCCCATGCTGGGGAGGGATGTGTTTGTTCTCACATCTCAGTGTCTGAATGCCAGTTGTGCCATTATTTCTGTGCTACTTGTTCATATTCATTTTGATGCTACATTTCCTGTGCCAAATTAAATACTGGCACAGACAGGTGCCTGAAATCAAAGTTGTGCCTGCTTATGCTCTGGCGAATTTAGTTTTTTCACTTCCATGATTTCATTCCCAGGAAAACAGCAATTATGTAACCTTGGTAGAAACAGACGCCAACAATATTAAGCTCACAACTGCACGCCTTTCACCCCAAGGGCTTCTTTCAATGAGAGGATGGAAAGTTTCTTAAAACCAAACAAGCAACCCAGACCTTTTGTTTTAACAAACGTACTTCCCTATTCTATCTGCACGTAGGCAGACACTTGAAGCAATTTACCTCCCTCACATCGTCCCCTTGAATGCTGTGCTCTTACGAAGTGTCTCTGCCACATCTCTCTCACAGTCAGTACTGGCCTTGACCCAGAGGATATTGGACAGTCCATCATGAAGGTGTGCAAAGTAATGCCTTCTGCAGAGCTCAGCAGTGAGGAGGAACCATCCTTGAAGTCCCTCCGTGGCACACCAGAAGATGCTGCTGCCAGGGACAAGGATGCTTGGCAGGAGCTGCATCTTGCTGGGGTTTTTTCACCCTGTGGCTCTGCAGAAAAAGTTCAGCTACATCCATCTATACAGCAAATAATGCCTAGTACCTGCAACTCCATTCTCTTGCTCTCTCTTTGATGTCCAGCACAAGCTGAGTTTCCATGGACCCAGGGACCGCTATGCTAGCTCACATGAGCCACCATGGCACACCAGGGCCCAGCACTAAGTTCTGTGCGCTCAGGGTGCTGCCATTCTCTCAGCTGCTGCCAGCTAGCCTGGGCATGGAAACACATGGACCAAGTCCACAAAAACCAAGCATGAGCATAGAGGCAACCCTACTGCTTCTGGGAGACCCAAACCTCAGTAGGACACCCACTTTAGCATCTGTTTACATTTAACTTACCTGAAAACTCAAGTGTCTGTCCACAGCCACCACGTGGCATTACCTACTTCCATTATCTTGCCTAACAGGCCTGAGGCCCTAAAGGGTACACAAAGAAAAAGCACTGGGTTTCACAGAATCACAGAATTGTTACGATTGGGAAAGACCTTTATGATCAATTCCAAGCATCAATCTAGCACCACCACAATCTTCACCATTAGGCCATGTCCTCATGTGACATATCCTTATGTTATTTAAACACTTCCAGGGATGGTGACTCACCCACCTCCCTCCACTGTCTTTTCCAATATTTTACAAGCCTGTCTGAAAAAACTTTTCCTAATATCTGATCAAAACCACCCCTAGTGCAACTTAAGGCCACTCTCTCATCCTGTCTGTCACTTGTTACTAGAAGAGACCAAGCCCCACCTGGCTACATCCTCCTTCTGCAATAAGGTCTCCCCTGAGCCTCCTTTTCTCCAGACCAAACAAGCTCAGCTCACCCTGCAGCTACTCACACAAGACTTGCTCTCTTGCCTCCTCACCAGCTTTGTTGCTCTTCTCTGGACTCACTTCAGGGTTTGTGGCATGGGATACAGGCCTAATTCACCAATTCTAATAACGTGAGTCACTAATTAAAAAAAAAAAAAAAAAAAAAAAAAAAAAAAAAAAAAAAAAAAAAAAAAAAGAACAAAATAGAACAAAACAAAAGTCAGACCAGAAAAATCAACCTATATCATAGAAAGCATATGTAGCATAGTAGCACTATGCTAACTACTGTGATGCCATACAATGCCATTTCCAGAGGCTGAACAGCTCACCACATGCATTTTAGACATGGCTCTGCAGCTCTGAAGTGTTGGGTCAGATGTGTAATATATCTTTCTCTCCCACTGTGGCGATACAAGATCATCATTTTAAAGGTCTTCCCTGGCATGGCTGCCAGGCTGTTTGTCTGAGCTGCAGTGGTATTTTTGGAGACAAAGACTTGGACACAGTGCAGGACAGGTGGCCTGGCAGCAGTGGTAGGAAGCTATCAAACCGCGCAGCGTACATTTCAAAACACAAACCAGAGGGAGAGGAGATAAATCATTTACTGTATTTAACTTAGCATATTGCTACTTTTTGTGACTCATATAGTCTTGCGGAAGACTCCCCAGACAGGTTAAGCCAAGTTTGAAAAAAAGACAATGTAAAGCTTACAGACTGCTAGGCATTTGTGAAGTTAGTATGCATAAATGCATGGAGGCAGCAGTGAAAATAACAAAATTGAAAATGGGGAGGAATCTGTTATCAGCCTATTTTCCTTCACTCTCCCTGGGTTTCAAGGACCTTTCTATGCCTCATTGGTCAAAAATAAACCTGAACCATCCTCTGAAGCCGGTGCAAAGAGGCATCAGCCAGAAAAAACATCAGTACCTTGCACTCCACCTGAAGAGGCTGTCCACAGCACTGCTGTTGATTGTACCAGGCCAAGCAAACCCCCACCTCCTTCCAGTGGCTGGGCTGGACACCTGCCATCATGTCACCATGTCACCTGGCCAGAGCTGGTGTGCACCCACAGCACAGTCAAGCTACAAGTGGCCTGCAGCCAAGGCACACACAGGAACCACCTGGAACCACATCCACAGCAGGACCAAGAGAGTGGCAAACCTGGGGCTCAGTGGAAAATGTCTCACACAGCCCCTCATATGTTGTGCCCAAGCCTTGAGACACTTGTGCATCCCACACCTTGTTACCTTCTCACTGAAGGTCTTCTCAGCAGCAAGCAGCAAACAGAAAAAAGACTTCTGACTGAACTGAAAAGGGATGCTTCTCTTCCTGGGGTTCTTAGAGCCTCCAACTCAGCAAGTCACTTGAGATGTACTTGCAGTGCACAGGGGGCTGTCAGGCACATCTGACTGGACTACACATGATGTGAGATTTGCAAACCCAGGCACAGTATATGTTTTTCCCTCTCAGCCCAATCCAAATCAAAAAATTTCAAACTAGGGGCCTCCTTGGGAAGACTGCATTGCATAGCAATTCTTTTGAAGGTAGGTAGTTTTAATCCAGTTACCAAGAGCTACGCTAATTCTGTGTACTTCATTTTAAGCTGAATTCATTGAAAAACAAGATTTTCTGCACAATGGCACTTTTGTCCCAATGCTTTTAAATGTGCAGGCTGTTCTCAACTAAATACGACAAAGGAGAGGCATCACCAACCTACTCAAATCCAACAAGATTCATGACAGATGCAGCCAAACAAGGGAAGCCCAAACTGGAATCCCTGCACAAGAAAAAATAATCCCATTAAAACAACCACAATGCCAGATAGTAGAGTGCTCACGGCGTGGAGAGATTTTATTGCAGCTCAGCAGTGCGTAAACCTTCAAGCAGACCTCACTGCTAGTTAGTCACAGGGTAATGCAAATACAAGACACAACACTATGAAAACAATCTTGTGCAGAGCTGCCCCCATCTCACAGAACAATTTAAGGAAAAAATTAGGATGTCACACAATGCTGCATGCCCTACAGCATGTGAAATTATCTTTACCGGACAAACTTATAAGAAAAGTCATCAGCTATACTTGGCTAGACATTTTCTCTGTATCCTTCAATAATTTATATCGCATTCATAAATTTACTGACTGTGCCCTCTCTCATTCTCCCTGACCCATCTCAGCCTGGCCCAGAATGGACACCAGAATAGCCTGCTATCATTTCCAGGGTCATCTCAACAAGTAAAACAATCTCTCATTCTTTTATTGCAAATGCACACTATTCCCATGCCTGGTTCTTTCTGCCATCTGAGCCAGGAGAATGAATCATCAAAAATGCTATTGTCAAATGCTTTCTATGAATTATGTTCTGCACTGCAGTGGCTTGCTCTGCTCAGGATTCTCTAGTTTATTGGTATTTCTCTGTGGGATTGCTTTTCGGAATCGCTGAACCAAAGTCTGATTATCCTCAAAAGGGGGCAGCCCATTTTAAGCCATTTTTAATGGGCATGAAATTGAAAGCACAAACCAGTTTGTTACACGACTGATGACAAAAAGTAGCATCACCACAGGGGTCCAGAAGATATTATTCAAAAAAAAAAAATGGAAGATGTATTATATATAGATATTATATAACTCAGCAACATTTGATTAGCGGGATAGCAGTAAGCTCCAGGAGCACACGTACCAACACACAATACCTACTGCTGTATTCCTCAGTCTCACTTTGTTTCAAGGGCATTTGCTCACATCAGGTATCTGGGGTACAGAATAGAAGGATGTGTTGCTGATCTTTTGTGCACAAGTTTATCCTATTAATATTCTTTAGCAAGTGCAAACAATCAAGAATTCTGTGTGGGTTTTGATCCCTCAGACCCTGACTGGGGTAGGAACTGAAGGTGCTGAATGACCTAAGTGAACCAAAATCTGCACCTCCTATAAGCCACACATACACCAAAATTAGACATCCTTGATCATTATTTTGATGTTGAATAAATAATATAAAATACAAAAATATTGAAAAAGAGTATAGATGTTGCATACAGAAATTAAAACTAGATGGTTTTAGTCTAGAAATAAGGCATATGGTTTGACCAATGAGAGCTTATGAAATGAGAAGTCCAGTACAGCAGAAGCCAAATGACATCTCTGTATTAATTCCTCTTTGAAGTTATTACCACTTCTCAAAATTTTAAATTTTTAAGGTTTTTTTTTTTAAGGTTGCATGCCAGTGACAGGCAATTCATGTCACAAATAGAAAGTTATTTCACTTATTTTCAATTTCATTGCTTTTCACACGAATAAGTAGTCTTCCAAAATTGCTCTGCAAAAGCTTGTATTAGATCCTCCATCATTTGGCCCGGTAGATCAAAGCTAGATGACTTTGTAGCAATAGAGAGTCAGATGCAAGAATCCCCAAATCTCTTTCCTGCTGGAAGTCAGGCTAGAGAAATACAGCTCTTTTCCTCCTTAGTGTCTACAACAGGAAAGTCATGATCACCACTTTTTCTTATGTTTAACCAGGTTCTTAAGCTAGGTCCTAATGAAAATATCATCCTAAGACAATTAATTATTTCTTTAAACAATAACATATTTGGAGTGTCAGGAAATAATACAATTTCTTTGCAAACCCTACCTATGCTATTTTTATATATATATATATATATATATATATATATACACATAAACACAGAAACAGAATATATTATGAGAAAATAATTACATCAGGCCTAAGGAATGTAAAAATTGAAAAAAACAAAAGTGATAACATTTCCAGTGCAATGACTGTAAGGAGACCAGAAAATGGCGTAAAGTATATCCATTTTCATGACAAAGGCTGTAATGAGAAAAAGAAAAGTGAAAAACTAATCTACTTCAGAAGTCTGTATGATCTGATCCACCATCAATTATCTATTCCAATCATGTAGAAAAGAGTTTCTGTCTACAGAGCAAATCCACTCTGGTAGTTAATCCTGTTGTCTTGTAGTTCTCCCTGGAGACCTGAGGATACAAAGTCTTATGTCCCTGGGTAGCACTGTTCAGATACAGTTTAACAATTCCACTCATCAAATCCTTGCCGTGTTTATCTCTGTGAAGAACACACGATGACAATCCCATCTCAGCCACACACTGATTTCATTCCAGGCTGATGAGCAGGAGCTCAACTTCCAGGTTTGTCTTACTCCTCTGCAGCTGCTTCTACCAACACCCTCCCTGCACAGCAGGAGTTTGAAACCACAGCTTGGGCTCTTCCTTACACTATCAGCTGCCTAGGTCATGAACATTTGCAAATTAAACATCACAGTGGGATCTCTGAATTACCAGATAATCAGATTAAATCTCTTGTTCTGAAAATTACATACCTCAACTGATACAGAAATTAAAATGCAATAAATAGGATACAACCTTTCCCACCTGTGCAATGCTGTTGAACTATGAAATTCCCTTCACTGTTTAAAGTACCTGGTTTCTAAAGGCCGTAACTCTTCATCACATTTTGGTTTTACTTGTAGTCTGGCAAAGGCTTCTTTTTTTTCCTTGCAAACATACCACTTTTGTGATCTCATTTTTTCTTCTGCCTGCCTTTTATCACACAGACCTTTTGAGTGTGACAGTGGTTGTAATTCCTTTCCATTTTTTGGTAGTTTTTTCTTTGAAATTAGCATTCTAGGTTGTAGAAATAAAAATTACCCCATATACCAACTTCAGCATGTCATTTATTTAAGCTTGTGCATTTTATTCCTTTCCTATTAGGCATCTTGTTCATTTGGGTGTTCAATTACACAGAATTTCATCTCAGCAGAACTTTTTATTACATGGTGCTCAGATCAAACAGTAAGCCACAGAAGATCTTTATAGACAGAGTACACTGCATTTAATATATGTGGGATCTGAAAGATTTTGTATATAAACAGCTTTTCAGCCCTAAATAATATATTTTCAGTAATGGTTCTTTTTACTGAACCAGTATCTTCTCAATTATCTACAGATCAACACAGTATTTCCTTAAATTATATGTATGTAATTTAATACCATAATAACCTTCAAATGTAAAGCCTTCTCAATGTAACTATTTAGCTTCTCATGTCTTATATTTATCAGAGGACATGATTCCAAAACTGATTTCAGACTACAGTAT